CCTGTGGGGGTTACACACACACTTTTAATAACACAACTCTCATATGAAAATGAAATGAATGTGACGAAGTATCAGGCATGGACTCTTTATCAGGTTGTTCTGGACCCTTATCACGTCGTTCTGGACCCTTATTAAGTCGTTCTGGACCCTTATTAAGTCGTTCTGGACCCTTATCACGTCGTTCTGGACCCTTATCACGTCGTTCTGGACCCTTATTAAGTCGTTCTGGACCCTTATCACGTCGTTCTGGACCCTTATCACGTCGTTCTGGACCCTTATCACGTCGTTCTGGACCCTTATTAAGTCGTTCTGGACCCTTATCGTTCTGGACCCTTATCACGTCGTTCTGGACCCTTATCACGTCGTTCTGGACCCTTATTAAGTCGTTCTGGACCCTTATCACGTCGTTCTGGACCCTTATCACGTCGTTCTGGACCCTTATTAAGTCGTTCTGGACCCTTATTAAGTCGTTCTGGACCCTTATTAAGTCGTTCTGGACCCTTATCACGTCGTTCTGGACCCTTATCACGTTGTTCTGGACCCTTATCACGTCGTTCTGGACCCTTATCACGTCGTTCTGGACCCTTATCACGTTGTTCTGGACCCTTATCACGTCGTTCTGGACCCTTATCACGTCGTTCTGGACCCTTATCACGTCGTTCTGGACCCTTATCACGTCGTTCTGGACCCTTATCACGTTATTCTGGACCCTTATCACGTCGTTCTGGACCCTTATCACGTCGTTCTGGACCCTTATCACGTCGTTCTGGACCCTTATCACGTCGTTCTGGACCCTTATCACGTCGTTCTGGACCCTTATCGCGTCGTTCTGGACCCTTATCGCGTCGTTCTGGAACCTTATTAAGTCGTTCTGGACCCTTATTAAGTCGTTCTGGACCCTTATCACGTCGTTCTGGACCCTTATTAAGTCGTTCTGGACCCTTATCACGTCGTTCTGGACCCTTATCACGTCGTTCTGGACCCTTATCACGTCGTTCTGGACCCTTATCACGTCGTTCTGGACCCTTATCACGTCGTTCTGGACCCTTATCACGTCGTTCTGGACCCTTATTAAGTCGTTCTGGACCCTTATCACGTCGTTCTGGACCCTTATTAAGTCGTTCTGGACCCTTATCACGTCGTTCTGGACCCTTATTAAGTCGTTCTGGACCCTTATCACGTCGTTCTGGACCCTTATCACGTCGTTCTGGACCCTTATCACGTCGTTCTGGACCCTTATTAAGTCGTTCTGGACCCTTATCACGTCGTTCTGGACCCTTATCACGTCGTTCTGGACCCTTATTAAGTCGTTCTGGACCCTTATGACGTCGTTCTGGACCCTTATCACGTCGTTCTGGACCCTTATTAAGTCGTTCTGGACCCTTATCACGTCGTTCTGGACCCTTATCACGTCGTTCTGGCCCTTATTAAAGTCGTTCTGGACCCTTATTAAGTCTTCTGGACCCTTATCACGTCGTTCTGGACCCTTATCACGTCGTTATCTGGACCCTTATCACGTCGTTCTGGACCCTTATCACGTCGTTCTGGACCCTTATCACGTCGTTCTGGACCCTTATTAAGTCGTTCTGGACCCTTATCACGTCGTTCTGGACCCTTATCACGTCGTTCTGGACCCTTATCACGTCGTTCTGGGACCCTTATCACGTCGTTCTGGACCCTTATCACGTCGTTCTGGACCCTTATTAAGTCGTTCTGGACCCTTATCACGTCGTTCTGGACCCTTATCACGTCGTTCTGGACCCTTATCACGTCGTTCTGGACCCTTATCACGTCGTTCTGGACCCTTATCACGTCGTTCTGGACCCTTATCACGTCGTTCTGGACCCTTATCACGTCGTTCTGGACCCTTATCACGTCGTTCTGGACCCTTATTAAGTCGTTCTGGACCCTTCTGGACCCTTATTAAGTCGTTCTGGACCCTTATCACGTCGTTCTGGACCCTTATCACGTCGTTCTGGACCCTTATCACGTCGTTCTGGACCCTTATCACGTCGTTCTGGACCCTTATCACGTCGTTCTGGACCCTTATCACGTCGTTCTGGACCCTTATTACCCTTATCACGTCGTTCTGGACCCTTATCACGTCGTTCTGGACCCTTATCGCGTCGTTCTGGACCCTTATCACGTCGTTCTGGACCCTTATCACGTCGTTCTGGACCCTTATCACGTCGTTCTGGACCCTTATCACGTCGTTCTGGACCCTTATCACGTCGTTCTGGACCCTTATTAAGTCGTTCTGGACCCTTATCACGTCGTTATGGACCCTGGACCCTTATCGCGTCGTTCTGGACCCTTATCACGTCGTTCTGGACCCTTATCACGTCGTTCTGGACCCTTATTAAGTGCGTTCTGGACCCTTATCACGTCGTTATGGACCCTTATTAAGTCGTTCTGGACCCTTATCACGTCGTTCTGGACCCTTATTAAGTCGTTCTGGACCCTTATTACGTCGTTCTGGACCCTTATTAAGTCGTTCTGGACCCTTATTACGTCGTTCTAGACCCTTATCACGTTTGTTCTGGACCCTTATCACGTCGTTCTGGACCCTTATTAAGTCGTTCTGGGGGACCCTTATTAAGTCGTTCTGGACCCTTATCACGTCGTTCTGGACCCTTATCACGTCGTTCTGGACCCTTATTAAGTCGTTCTGGACCCTTATCACGTCGTTCTGGACCCTTATCACGTCGTTCTGGACCCTTATCACGTCGTTCTGGACCCTTATTAAGTCGTTCTGGACCCTTATCACGTCGTTCTGGACCCTTATCACGTCGTTCTGGACCCTTATTAAGTCGTTCTGGACCCTTATCACGTCGTTCTGGACCCTTATCACGTCGTTCTGGACCCTTATTAAGTCGTTCTGGACCCTTATTAAGTCGTTCTGGACCCTTATAAGTCGTTCTGGACCCTTATCACGTCGTTCTGGACCCTTATCACGTCGTTCTGGACCCTTATTAACGTCGTTCTGGACCCTTATCACGTCGTTCTGGACCCTTATCACGTTGTTCTGGACCCTTATCACGTCGTTCTGGACCCTTATCACGTCGTTCTGGACCCTTATCACGTCGTTCTGGACCCTTATCACGTCGTTCTGGACCCTTATCACGTTGTTCTGGACCCTTATCACGTCGTTCTGGACCCTTATCACGTCGTTCTGGACCCTTATCACGTCGTTCTGGACCCTTATCACGTCGTTCTGGACCCTTATCGCGTCGTTCTGGACCCTTATCACGTCGTTCTGGACCCTTATCGCGTTCGTTCGCGTCGTTCTGGAACCTTATTAAGTCGTTCTGGACCCTTATTAAGTCGTTCTGGACCCTTATCACGTCGTTCTGGACCCTTATTAAGTCGTTCTGGACCCTTATCACGTCGTTCTGGACCCTTATCACGTCGTTCTGGACCCTTATCACGTCGTTCTGGACCCTTATCACGTCGTTCTGGACCCTTATCACGTCGTTCTGGACCCTTATCACGTCGTTCTGGACCCTTATTAAGTCGTTCTGGACCCTTATCACGTCGTTCTGGACCCTTATCACGTCGTTCTGGACCCTTATCACGTCGTTCTGGACCCTTATCACGTCGTTCTGGACCCTTATCACGTCGTTCTGGACCCTTATTAAGTCGTTCTGGACCCTTATCACGTCGTTCTGGACCCTTATTACGTCGTTCTGGACCCTTATTAAGTCGTTCTGGACCCTTATGACGTCGTTCTGGACCCTTATCACGTCGTTCTGGACCCTTATTAAGTCGTTCTGGACCCTTATCACGTCGTTCTGGACCCTTATCACGTCGTTCTGGACCCTTATTAAGTCGTTCTGGACCCTTATCACGTCGTTATGGACCCTTATCACGTCGTTCTGGACCCTTATTAAGTCGTTCTGGACCCTTATTAAGTCGTTCTGGACCCTTATTAAGTCGTTCTGGACCCTTATCACGTCGTTCTGGACCCTTATCACGTTGTTCTGGACCCTTATCACGTCGTTCTGACCCTTATTAAGTCGTTCTGGACCCTTAAGAATCGTCTGGACCCTTATTAAGTCGTTCTGGACCCTTATCACGTCGTTCTGGACCCTTATCACGTTGTTCTGGACCCTTATCACGTCGTTCTGGACCCTTATCACGTCGTTCTGGACCCTTATCACGTCGTTCTGGACCCTTATCACGTCGTTCTGGACCCTTATCGCGTCGTTCTGGACCCTTATCGCGTCGTCTGGACCCTTTATAAGTCGTTCTGGACCCTTATTAAGTCGTTCTGGTGACCCTTATCACTCGTCTGGAACCTTATTAAGTCGTTCTGGACCCTTATTAAGTCGTTCTGGACCCTTATCACGTCGTTCTGGACCCTTATCACGTCGTTCTGGACCCTTATCACGTCGTTCTGGACCCTTATCACGTCGTTCTGGACCCTTATCACGTCGTTCTGGACCCTTATCACGTCGTTATGGACCCTTATTAAGTCGTTCTGGACCCTTATCACGTCGTTCTGTCGTTCTGACCCTTATTAAGTCGTTCTGGACCCTTATCACGTCGTTCTGGACCCTTATCACGTCGTTCTGGACCCTTATCACGTCGTTCTGGACCCTTATCACGTCGTTCTGGACCCTTATCACGTCGTTCTGGACCCTTATTAAGTCGTTCGTGGACCCTTATCACGTCGTTATGGACCCTTATCGCGTCGTTCTGGACCCTTATCACGTCGTTCTGGACCCTTATCACGTCGTTCTGGACCCTTATCACGTCGTTCTGGACCCTTATCACGTCGTTCTGGACCCTTATCACGTCGTTCTGGACCCTTATTAAGTCGTTCTGGACCCTTATTAAGTCGTTCTGGACCCTTATTAAGTCGTTCTAGACCCTTATCACGTCGTTCTGGACCCTTATCACGTCGTTCTGGACCCTTATTAAGTCGTTCTGGACCCTTATCACGTCGTTATGGACCCTTATTAAGTCGTTCTGGACCCTTATCACGTCGTTCTGGACCC